ATGTTGCATTATGATATGAATATATTGCATAATCCATTGAAGATGTTAAAAATGAAGATGAACATGTTACATACTAAGATGAATATGTTATATAATAAGATTAAAATGTTATATTTACTCACATGGCTGATATTCTTGATTGCAGTTTTGTAAGCCCTCCTTCTGTGAACTCGAAATCCAACATTGCACTTGCATGCTTCACATATTCTTTCCCAGCCCTCTAGAAAGTAGGGTCCATTGTTTAGTTTAAGAGATAATGCGAGGTGTTTTTATTTTCATCACATATGGATTCTTACCATGAATATTGAATCGTGTGAATTGCAAAAGATGTTGATTCTTGATCCAACAGGAGCAAGGTAGTGTTCTTGTTGCTTCATTTGATGATTCTTTTGTTTTTTATTTTCCATATTCAAACCAAAAAATATATTAAGCTCACAAAGATTGTTTTACATCAACGAGACCTAAATAGGTCTGGGTCTGCAAAGGCAAAAAAAAAAGAACAACAGCCAAGTTATTTCCTTGCATAGCCTAGCCAGATAGGGCTAAAGAAGCAAAAACTGCACAAATATCCTTATCAAAAATAAAACTACAAGAATAAACAGAAGAGCACAAAGACTTCAACTTTTTAACTTAATTATTTAACGACAAANATACACCTTAACAGTCAAGTTTACAAATTTCCTTGCGTAGCTATAGGGTTAAAGAAGCAAAAACTATACAAATATCCTTATCAAAAATAAAACTACAATAATGAACAGAAGAGCACAAAGACTTCAATTCACCCACAGCTGCAGCTCTCATATCCCCTGCTTCCAAATTCACACAGCACCAGACGACAGCTTCCCTGTTGTCCATATAGCATGTCACATTTTTTCAGTTATTCTTGGCAGCTTATTTGAGTACCCAAGAGTACCCACAGTATAGCCATCCACTGAACTTCCAAAGAAGTCTCTAGATGAATCCCATAGCTGTAAGTCCCTCTCCTCACAAAAAGCTCTCCCCCCCAAACCTAACCTACCATTGCTTGACCCCTCACTCATCCCCAGCCCCCTAGCCATGGTACCTCACCATTTACCACACCCCCGCTTATCAAAACAATCCCAAGAAATACCTAACAGTTTTTAGCACTTGACAACCCTACTACACTGAATTATGATATGATCAATATTTTCCTCACACTCTCCACAGACCTCACATACTACACCACATTCAATTCTTCTCTTTTTGAGTTGAACCCTAGTCCCCACAAACCCATGCCAACATCTCCAAATGAAGTTTTTCAATTTTCTATGGATAGGCAGAGCCCATGTAACCTTCCACATAACAATGGTGGACCATGTAATTCTTCTCTTAATTTGTTGATTCAATCACGAAAAAATGATGGCATATCCAATCCTTGAAACAACTATGGTGGCATATTCATTCCATGTAACGAGATCAAATAACAATTAGGATGTCATTGCCAGAAACATAAATAACAGAGGTTTGGTTTTTTGTTTTTTTTTTTTTCAAATCAAAGTGCTTCAGAGATATTTCCTTCAACAAAATGTATCAGTAAATACCAAACAATGCAAAGTTATAAGCAAAGTTATAAAGCAAACCAGCTGAACATAAGGAAAATAATTTAGGTAAACTTGGTCAACCTGAGCACAAACTATCACAACACCTAATGTGTTTTTAAAAATACCGAGTAAGCATGGTACTTTTTAGCAAGCTTCTTCACTATCTTCTTGTTTTTGTTATCCCGAGTAGGCATTACATCAAACACGTAATGAGCTTTTAAGAATACAACAAAACCAACTTATCAACAATCAACCGCTAGTTAAGAAATCCACCTCCTCACATCAAATCATTATTCGTAACAATCAATTACAATAGAAGGATGTACAACCAAAGCGTAAATTTTCACCAAAACAACCTATGTTAATAACACGATTTCAAGGGTTTTGTATCCAGGAATTACATAACAAAATTCACAACAAATATTAGAAGCATGACAAGAATTTACAATCATACTTCACATTCGAAATAAAGTGCCTCAATGAATCTTGCGTGCGATTGAAATCTCTATATAGAAAATTCTATCGACAAGATACATATTGATCGCAAATCGTTCGAATATAGGTTGGGGTCATAATATTGTTATGATATTGAATCATGAGGAGAGGATGAAGTAGGTTCGGATTTGTATGTAGAAGAACAATGAGGAAGAAGATGAAGAAGAAGAGTTTTTTTTTTTTTTTTTT